TTCTGTTTCTACCCAGCAGAATATCTGTGAGTACTTTTTTGCAAGAGCAAGTGTTACTTTTTCTGTTGGGAATCTATTATTTTTGTGAACTTTTTTTTTTTTTTTAATTGTTAGCATGAGTACTGAGCATTACAGTTGCAAAACAATTTAATTATTTCTAGAAAGGTAATTTAACCAATGAGAGATGGTTAACATTTAGGAAGAATTTAGAATAAGAATTCATAGGATTTAGAAAATGTGCCTTTAAAAGAAAAGGCACATTTCACGCCCAATGTGGATGATAAAACAGAAGTAATAAGTTCATGTTTTTCTGACCTGTAATATTATGTGCAATATAAAAGAGACAGAACAACCTGAAATGCTCTTTCAGAAACCATATTTTTGTTTTTATTCTGTCTTGGTTTATAGATCTTGGAATTCCACTTTTCTCTTCCTCTTTGCAGAAAACCGTATCTTTCTTCTTTCTATTAAACAGTTAACTAAGTTAAATGAAAATAGAATCTGAATTTTATCTAGGATAACTTCTGATTCTGAAAGTTCTTTAGAATGTTTTCAGTAACTGTTGCTTTTTATCCAAGTATGATGCAAAATTATATGTTTTTCAACATATGATCATAATTAGTTTGCATGGATGAATAATTCCACATTAATGAAAACTAGTGAGTTGATTTTAATATGTGAGATTTAATATATACCAGTTGCGCAAGCTGCTTAAGAAACAGCCAAGTGGAAAATGTATTTTGTATTATATTATGTAATATATATGAGTAATATACAAGTTGCAATATAAAAATATTACAATTCTCATTTTTTAAACCAGTACTTAGTTTAGAAATGATCACCAGAGCAGTCACAAACGATGTCTACATCTGTTTTGTAGGAAATATTCATCTAGTTTGTCTGAATATAGATGCAGATTTAGAATAGAATTAACTTGATAAGAAATATGGTATATATTCCAACTTAACAAATAAACCTCCGTTGGCTGTGTTACTTTATGCATCTATATGTTATTGCTTCACCTAACGGTCACTGGAATATATTACTAGATACCTTTGATTTTCACCTTACTGATTCATTTGCTGCGACAATGTATATTTTATCAAAATTATGGGCTTTGTAAGAAAGGATCACTAGTTGCTATTTTGTTATATGCTTAACTGAGTATTTTATTAAAGACACCCCCCCATGCTATAATACAAGTACAGTGAATTCTGCAACAGAATGAATGCAAAGCTTCTAGAGTGACAGTTTTTATACTGAAAAAATTATCATAGCAGGCAGGGGAGGGGAGGGAAAGGTTCACAATGACCAAGCCAGTTTCAAGGAGCTGTGTTTACTAGCACAGCTAATAAGAATTGACAGTTTCTTTTACCATAATTAATTCTGCTGGAATATAGTTTTTGGCTGGAGTTGTGGGGGAGGGGTATTTTTTCAGTGTACGTAATTAAAATGCTGTATGCCATACCCACCAGAAACAGCTAGTTGGGTGCAAGGCTGCTTTTAGTGTGATTTCAGTCTCAGTGGGCTAACCCCTTTTTATGTCGAATGATATAGCAATGTATAATGTATTTATCACATGCTGTATGCCCACCACTTTATGTACATGGAAAAGCTTTGGAAGGAAGCAGAAACTACAAAAGTGGTCTTCAGCACTGCTGCTTCACAGCTGCCTGGGGATTGCATGCTGTTTTTCCAATTGCAGGGAATATGGCACATGGTGAAAATTCAAGGCCCTAAACATTCTTCAATTAAGACAGATTTTGCAACAAAAGGATAGCTCCAGCACACCATGTACTGGAGTGTTATTGAATGCAGCTAGCATAATCAATTTTTCCAGCCGTTTGCAGTCACCTTTCCTTCCATCAGTGAAGATGTCAGTCTCTGTGTGTCAGACCCTATGGATTGCTTCAGTTTAATACAGCAGAATTCATGGTCAGAGATAGTGAACAGAAAACTGCAAGGTGCAGAGGATTCAGGCACAAGAGACGTATTCCAATGATGTCTGGTGCATGTTACTGTGTTGAGTCAAATGTAAATCTATTCAGGAAGCAAACCAAGGTTTATATTGATAACCATGCACCTGCAGCTTAGCCCTACCATTTGTAATCTTGTAAAGTTCATAAATTAAGTTCTAAAATAATTTTTGGAGAATAGCTTTATAATTAATTCATACAGAGTTAATTATTGTAAAAGAAACTATCAATTCTTATATATAATCTCTTTTAAGAATAGGCCACCAAGAACTAGCATGCCCATCGTGAGTGACACTTCAAGAATAAACATAATAAAGACAAATTGCACGGCTTTATTATAAAAGCTTCGATGACCCCTAGCATATGATCTTTAATGTGCTTTGGTCAATATCTTTCTCTGTATCAATGGGAGCTCATTAAAAGAAGATACTGCAGACTAACTGAGCCATGCCATATTAGTTCTTGCCAAAGCCTGACATTTTTAATACATTAATAATATGTCTGTAATGTAATGGAAAACTATTAATCACAACTGGTTATATGCCAGAAATTTCAAGCTATAATTGGCTGCTTCTTGTCAGGAATGTCTGTCGCATAGTCCTACATCTGCCTAATACTCAAATATCTTGCACTCCTCTGCACTTTTTCCTTGTCAGCGCACTAAATTCGATCAATGTTATAGTCTATAATTCTGTGTAATGACCGTCATTATGACTCTGACTTGCTTTAATGAGAATTCGTTATATGGGAACTGGAGTAGCATAGTATGTTAAGATAGTGGGTCGCTTCACATTTATTTTCAAGATCTGTATTTTCCATTGTGGTTGGTACATCTGTTTACATCCCTGTCTAGTCCCTTATTTGCAGATTAAAGTCTCAGTAGTTACAGCAGATTAGGGATGAAAAGAAAGATAGCAAAGAAGGCATTAAAGTAAAACAGCCTACCTGTGACTAAATGTAGAAACTAAATCACAAAGATGGTTAAACATAGTGCCATGTTATTTCAGTATAGAAATATGATGTTCACTTACTGGTTATTCCAACAGTGCTCAAACACAAAGCAGTTTATTTCAGCCCCTCCCTACAATATTGGATATGTGTTGATTTGTCACAGTAATGCAATTACATTTGCATGTTTTACTGTAGAAATTAAAGTAAAGGCTTTTCTTGAAGGTTAGCTTTTTTTTACTTCTGTGTGTTTACTTTTCTTTTTAAGCAGTGGGGCATTTTCCCCCTCAAAAAGAGTAAAAAAAAATTTTTTTAAATGAAAGGAAACTATAGAAATGGTGTAGGTTTCAAAAAATGCTCTGAATATTTTAATCAATGAATTTCAAAATAGCAATTTTTAAATATTGCCAATGTAAACTGGAAGAATGGAAGGTTTTTAGAAAGCCATGATGGTTGATGATCTGTTATTTGGTTTGTTGTTTTTCTTTAATATATTTTTAAATCTCTGATATTTCTTATTTTTTTCAGATTTAGATATGAAGGCTATATCTATTTGGACACATTGTTTACTATTACTACATGGAAATTTGGAAATTGTGTTCTTTTTAATAGATTATGTCACAAATTACAGCTGTGTGATAACATTTTATGAAAGGAATATTATGGAAAATAGCACCAGTGTCCATACAGTAATTATTGTAAATTATTTTGCTATGGAAACACAGTGCAACCATCTGTTGGCATTTCCTAGTGTTTTTGGTTTACTTTAGTTTATGATGGTGCATTCTTTAAATGTAACAATCTTGTTTGTGAATTGCTCTGGGGAGATCTTGCTTTATTTAAAAAAACAAAACCAAAAAACCCATAGATTATGAAATGAGATGTACGTTTTAGAGCTTATCAAAATCACGTGCCTTTTTAATATATTTATGTCATAGGAAAATTAAGGATACTACCTATACCAAAGACTTTGTACATATCAAGTGAGCCACACAATATTATGATTTACACTTATTTTTAAGCAACAAATTTAAGGGATTGTTCAGGTTGGTTCATTGCAGCCTTCCTTCCACAATGGATCTAATCCTAGTTCCATTCAAGTTAGTGATCAGATTCCAAAGAACTACATTTGCAGGAAGGTTGACTGCAGAATTGGAAAAAAACAAGGAAACTAATTTAGACAAAACCTACATCTGAATTTGTAAACTTGTTTTTTAAGGATTGTGATGGCCTCTGCCTGTTTACTAAAGTCACTTTGCTTCTGCAAGTTGCCTGTATGCGACTTGTATTTTTTACTACTACTTTTTGTAATGTATACGTTTAACTAATTTAAGATGCACTTCACATTTTACAACAATATAAAGAACTTGTTTTGGAGAGTATATATTTTACAGATATTTAGCACTAAGCAGATATGTAAAAGCAACTAAGAAAACAGGGAAGCCTGTTAAAAAGAGAAACTGTTTTTATCATAGCTCCAGATGAACCAAGCGTTGTTTTATCCTTAAACACAATTAAACAATAGGAGCAAAATTCTTGCAATATTAATGAGAAAATCCAAAGAGACAGAAGTATGTTCCAGTTGTATCCCTGTTATTAGACTAACAAAACAAAAAGCATTTTGAGCTCTCTGAGGTCCTCTTGCCAGGAGACAAAAAGCACACAGGTAGTTGTCATCTCTGTCATTCTAATAAAAGATTCACCCTGCTGTTCCCCTTAGTGGAACCCCCTATCCACCTGCTTATAAAATATGAGAAATGATTAAGCTTTGTTTGCTCTTAGGTTTGGCCAAGATAGAAATAACATTTTTTAAGCAAAAACCTGTAACTCACCTGGAACATTATAAATCTGTCTTTGTTAGAAAAAAGTTGAATCCTTCATGTCAGAATACTTTTCACTGTGAATGATTTTGGTAGTTTGTTCATTTTAGCACAGAACCCATGGTAAAGGTTATCCATATTACACCAATTTGCTTTATATTGCATCAAACTTCCAAAATGTCAACATATCACATATTTTGTAATGCATTGATTCTTGGACAATAACTCTTACTCTTATTGTTTTTAAAAGGGTGTTGGTGCCAGAAGAAAAGAATGATTGATGAGAAACAGACACCAGGCTGTAGACACTCATCCTTTTGCTTCAAATACTGATTTATCAGTGTGTCTGGGCATCCCTTGTGAGCTGTGAACACGGAGGATCACTCAGGGTTATCGACAGTACAGCTGAAGACCTGCAACTTTGCTAAAATATTATCTGCTTTTGGACATCTTTCACAAGAAGCCCTGATAGATATGTTATAAGACAAAGGACAAGCTGCACATTTCTGTGAAAGGCTATCATTTGGATATGTTAGGCTTCCACCAAAGTCTTCAACCTAGTAAAACAAGCACCGTATCCTAATACTTCACATTTGATTTGGAACATGTTTTATAACATACAAGCATATATACATATATATGTATAATTCATAGACTGTACTAAAATCAACACTGGTTATAATTACCAAGTCAATTTAAAAGGATTCAGAGATGTATTTGTCAAGATTCCTGTCACTTCATGCCCTTTGGGTTACTGTATCTTCAGTGATGCAACATTATCCTTCAGTGTGGGGACATTATGATGTATGTAAGACTCAGATATATACAGAAGAAGGGAAAGTTTGGGATTACATGGCCTGTCAACCCGAAGCCAGAGATATGATCAAATATGTGAAAGTGACCCTGGATCCCCCTGATATAACATGTGGAGATCCTCCTGAAACTTTCTGTGCAATGGTAAGGTAAACTTTTCAATACTCCATTTCTAGATAGTTCATGGGTAATTTCTGTGATAGATGCAAAGCAGAAAACTTCAACTTCAGGTATTTCTGTACCTAAAATCCAGATGAAGCTATGTATTATTGTGAACCTGTAAGTGTGACAGAATTCTGAGCTCTATTGCAAAGCAATACGTGTTCTTCACTAAAATATATTAGACTGGGCACTAAGTGGTTAATCCAATTAGAACCTAGTGTCTCATTTGAAATCAGTGGCAAATCGTATAGTGACTTGCATAAGAAAGTAGTGTCAATTTCCTGAAATACCAGCTTTTCATGTGTGTTTCTGTGTTTGTCTGGATTTGTGTAAGTTTAGTGAATTGTTTCTAGTATATTCCCATCGTGAAACAAACATGATGGCATATAAATAAAAGCCTATGCACAAAATAAGCAGAGATTTGAATATATGAACTGTAGGAGGTGTAAGGGAGGGTACATTGACAGGATTGTTCAGGAAATCATGCACAACGCTAGGCATGGCCGCTTCGCCTTGTTATTGTAAGCAACAAATATTCATAGCAACTTCTAAAAGAAATGCCATTGAATAGGTAAGATTTTTTACAGAAGTGAGCGCCCAGAATGTTGAAAAATTGACCCAAAAATTGAGCCCAAATTGGGCGCTCTAAATCTGAGGCTTCAGAAATTAGAGGCCATTTTTGAAAACGTGGGGCATAGTAAATATTTGAACCAGTTGCGAAAAGTTAGGCAGAATTTGTGTCAAGGCAGTATATGTTACATGATGAAAAGTTATTTAAGTGTTTGCTGGCTCAGGGCATGAGGTTATTAGTATTAGAGGACATTTTTAACTTGTAGAGAACTTTCTCCTTCCAGAATTCAGAAAATTCAAATTGGGCTTGAAGTATGCGTTGTGTGTGTATCTATCACTTCAAATATGATTTATTTTATTATATGATTATATCAGTAGGGCAATAGAATTCATATAATTTTAGCTGATGGTTTTGGAAAAATAATGCATTTCTGATAAGTTAGTTTATTGTAAATTAGTATACTCTACAAAATACATTTGTTTGCTGATATGTAAATTGCTAGTACTCAATTTCCCCAGAGTGTCATAAACTTTTTAATGTATTGTGGCATCACTTTCAACCTTTAATGCTCTATAAGGAGCTTGGGTCCAACCACAGATATCATTTAGGGTGTCATGTGGGAACACAAATACTTCCCACGTGTGTTGTGGTAAGAGTCACGTGATAAATTGTGTGGCTGCATGAATAAATTATATTCATTGTGCCCTTTAACTGCACTATTTGCACTTACCCCACTAATCCATCTCCATTGACACTGCTCCTGATGCTCTAAACCTATGAGCAGATTCAGACTGCCGCTGTTTTTTAAAATAAATGCAACTGTGGGTCTCTCTTACTTCCTGTCCAGGTAGATACAGTACATATATTTATATATAGGGAAATTGTTTCTGGTAATTTTTTGAGATTTTTAAAATTAATTAATTGTTTCTGTTCCAAGTCTACGCAGTTAGACTTGAAGTATTAAAAATGTCTGGCTTCCAGTATGAAAAATAGTATTATGCATGTTTTGTACAACTCTCCATAATTTTTGTAAGCCTTTTTCTATAAAATGTTTGGCATATACAGGATTCCTTATGCTCCAGTTTCCTATCAAGATTTTTATCAGCATGCATTTGGAATGACTGGTGTAACTCTCTGATGGTCTGAGACTTGGGGAACCATCACAAGCTCAGAGAGAGAGAGTGCATGATGAAGTGGTACACGCAATGTACTGGAATGGGATTGTGATGGCTATAGTATTCATGAATGATATTCTGTCTTAGTATAGATGTATATTGTAGATGGACATGAGTGTTCCATTATGAATGTTAATGGCATTGTTCACTTGAAATCCCGGAATAATTATAGATGCAAAGAAATATTACAAGGCCCAGACACACTGTACCTATATAGCTGTAAAGTATGCTCTAGATATGTTACAATGAATTGCCAATCATTTTTTATTTCAGTCCACTGTTTTCAATTTTCATATGTTTAAGAAACAATCACTTTTTGTATTGAGGAATGTCCATATTTGGATTTAATCTTGTAGGTACTTATGCACATACTTAACTTTTAGGCACGTGTACAAATGGTACATGTATATGAATTTAAAAAATGCATTTTTGCAGGATTGATCCTTGATCTTTTCCCATAATAGAATCTCTTAACTTCATGTTAAGAATTATAGAAATGCGAGGTAAAATAGTCTAATCATTTCTGCATGAGAGAGAATGAAAAAGCTGGGGGTGATATTCTATTTTGTTTTTAGGCACATGCTTGTGATTTTTTTTTTTTTAACAGTTCTCACTTTTTAAATGACTGAGACTCAGAAGTCATCATTAGCAGTGTAGGGCAACACACACATTTTTTCCAGCAGTGTTTGCATTTAGTTGTTGGAGATTATTATGTGTAGTTGACATTTATGTACTAACATTGCGTGCTATAATTTCACTTAGCTTTGTGGTTAAGATCCTTCCCTGAATTACCTGGGACAGCCCAGCATATCTTTCAAACTTTCCAGGAAAAAAACAAGCGTGTCAATAAGATCTTTTCTATTCCTCATGCCAAAGGTTAGAAGTAGGTCATGATGTATGTGTGTATTTGTCTCATTCCCAAATCAGCCCTGGTCATTCTCCCTGGAGAGTAAATTCATTCAAGTAAGGACTAGGACCATTATTTGAGTGTGTGCCAGCTATTTTTATACTCAAGTTAGACTGGGAGGTACAGTTGGATTAAGTGACTCGGTCAAGGTCCCATAGGAAAGTTATAGAGAAGCCATCTGCAGTAGTAGATCACATTCTGCAGATTCACATCTGCAGTAGTAGATCTTTGCCACATTCAGTTTGTCACAGTAACTTTCAGACATCTCTTGTGAAATTCTGTGCCTATTTATCCTGCCTGCAACATAAGAACAGTTTTATAAGAATTTACAAGAGTGTGCAGGCATCTTGGGTTATAATTTTACACACTACTTGTTTCTTGGATTATTGATCCATTATCCATAAATGCTTCTTTAGATACACAACAATGAACTTTGAGTCAGTACAGCTGCCACATAAGCATTGGGCTATATAATGTGTCAGTGTCATTACAAAATGCAGTGTTGCCAAAATGACTGGGACTAGCCCACAACCTTGGCATCAGTTCGCAGGACGCAGAAACCCTTTATCCTCAAAGGCTAAGAGGTGAATTTTCAAAAACAAGTGACCTATCCTGGCCAAATGGCAGTGGGAAGCAGCTTGTACTATACTTCCTTATGCTGCACATATTCTTAAAATAACACTTCTGTTTCTAATGATATTTAAAGTTGACAACTATGAAGATGCTTCTATATTCCAAGTACCTGGAGTCTGATGATGACGTTGCTGATATATCAGCTTTCATTACAAGCCTCAGCTTTTGTTTCTAGTCCTTATCGTTGCATAGAAAAGTTCGAAAACATGAATCTCGCAACAACTTGGAAAACAAGGTCTCAGTGTATTGTTTTAAATATGTGATCATGTGTACATCACTCAAGAGGAGGCAGAAAGAAGGAATCTAAAGATTGGAATTTCTTACGTGAAAATGAAGACAAGAGGTGGCCATGGAAAGAATATACATAACAATTGATATTCTTGAGAATGTGCATCAGGGAGTTTCTATTTTCTCTGTTTTCATAACATAGAACTAAGGGGACATTCAACTAAACGGAGATAAGAAATTCAAAACTACTAAATATGTTTTTCACACAACATATTGCTATAGAAAGTTTTTTGGGGCCCTAAAGTAATTGGATATTTTTGTGGATAACGGAAATAACCAGTGTTATAATTAACGATAGAAAAAATGTAGAAAAGATATCAATTTTTTAACTATTGGAGACTAGGATAAGGCTGATTTGTGGGCGGCAGTTCATCTCACATCCATTTGCTGTTACTTTCATGCACCACCCTTTGAAGGATTTGACTATTGCCACTGACAGACAGGATGCTGAACTTTATGGACATCGGAGCTGATTCTCTGTAGCAGTCCTTTTTTTTTCCTCTTGTGATTCATGTTTTGTGAATGTTTTGGAGTTGATGACACTGAGTCTGGCACCTTCATTACGCTCAGTTGACTTGGAAGAAAAAAGAGTTTTCACTTATGTCTAACCACTTTAGTTCTTTAATTTTGAAAAATTTAATTTTACGGGGCTTTTGTGGTATCATTGTAAATAGCTGAAGACTTTTTTTTTTTGTGGCCTGTGATATTTCAGGATGTGTTGTTTGTGTTTTGTTTTTTTTAAATTTACAAGAATGCACAGCAGTTGGTAAAATCTCCAAGCTCCCAGTTTTTGTAAGAAGCTTTTGCAAAATTTGATAAATACATGAAAAATAACAAACAAACAGTTTCTCATTACCACTACCAGATACAGAAGTTGTTTTTGATTTTTTTTATTTATTTTTTTGGGGGGGGTGGGGGGAGGTAAACCCACACGTACCAAGTGTTAGCTTGGATCCAACCTTAGGCAACAGCTTTACTTTCCTCTTCTATGCTATGAGCTGGAACACCACTTTGGCCAAGGTTTAGCACAGATTACTTCTCCCTTGGAATAGTGGGGAAACCAGGGACTAAGAGTAGCTTTCAAGCTGTCAGCATGGGCAGTGCAGCTATATGCTACCCCTGGTGCAGTGCCATTGATTTGCTGAAATCTAACTTGTAAAGTTAGGTTGTTTTTTTGCTTGTTTGTTTTTAATATATATTCAGTTGGGAATCCTAACTTGTAACAAAACCATTCACAGGGTGCATCTACATGAGACGCTTTACTTTGCATTGGCTTGGTCCCAATCTCCACGTGGCTGGCAGCTGGGACAGCTTCCACCCCCACCCCGCTTGGCTTAGGGCCAGTCTAATCTCCCCCCAAGCTGAGACAGCATGGGGGCTTAGCCCCGAGCTCTCACTACCAGCCTGG